TTCAAATTAAAATGGGCTAATGGATTTTAAAAATGATTTGAGATTTAAAATTAAAATTATGAAATAATCTAATTTATTTAATTAATTTGCTAATTTGTATTTTAAAAAATAAAATAATTTAATTAATTCAATATAAAAAATAAAAAATTTATTTAGTTTCGGTTCTTATTCGGTTTTTCGGTTCTTGGTCTAGACCCAAGACCCGACCAAAACCCATCGGTTCTCGATTCGAGTATCCGTTAGGGTATTTAATTTATGAAGAACCGCTCGGTTCGATCCGATTCGGTTCGGAACTTTTGGACACCCCTACCAAAAAGAATGCATCAATACTGATATTAAGCTGCATGTATATTCTTTTTAAAAATTATTAACATTCTGAATCAATTCATTGAGCTTACACGGTCAATATAATCACGAAAAAAAGTAAAAAATTGAAAGAAATAATTGCTCTTCTTTTCACCTGCCAAGTGAATATAAGGACAGCCGCATGAATAGACCCCGATAAAATCCTGCTTAGGCTTCAGCTTAGCTAATAGCCGACAGAAAAATCGAGGGACAAAGATTACCGCAACCTAAAACTGGGACTTGAGCATTTACAGAGTAAAAAATCGACCGCAACTCCAGTAGTAAGGCTAGGAAATTAACCATCTTGTCGCTTGTGAATCTCTTCGTTAACAAGCTTGATCACTAAGATTTGATCGTTTGTTGGATTGTCATTATTCAAAATACTGTCCAATGCTTGCAATTCTTCTGGGTTTGCCTTCTTAAACAGGCAATTGAGTATTGCATTAACCTCCCCAGAAAGAAATGGGTAGCTTTTCCCAGCTTCTTGATCGGTCAAGGGCTCAGACTTCAAAATATAGGACGTGTTCAATAGAGATTAAAATCGAAAAACTAGCTGTTATTGTTGACTTTTATTAGACAAGCGACACCCAATAACGACATATTTTCAATTTTAATTGAATTTTAATCGGAAACAAACAGGCTCATAGTTACTGGAGTTGTCTCTCGAATGAGAATGCTTAGGAATCTGCATTAGGGGCCGTGATTTCCAGTAATCCGTACAGACTCGATTCTTGTCCATAGCCTGGATTGCCTGTGTCAGAGGAAAGAAACAGAGAGAGATTTGACTAGCCCTCAGCATCTGTGGGAAACAATTTCGGGACCAACAGACAAACTTCATATGACCACTAATACGCATTAGAGAAATTAATAGCTCATTCATATGATTAGAAAGATTCACCCTGTCATCAGTTGGACTAATAAGATGATAACTAGAATTACAAACTGGAGCAAATCTTCCAACAACGATTCTGCTTAATGGATTTTTATCAAAAAATTCACAAGTAGGTAATAACCAGTGTTTTAAAAGGACGAGGCCCAGGGGCGAAGGAGCCCACGCATATGGAAAAAAGGGAAATTACAAAAAATCATTTGTTTAAAGATTGGTTTTAAAAAATCAGGTCTACAATTTATTTATTCAAAAATCAGGTACTATATTAAAACCCTAATTCATAACCTAATTCTTTCATCCCTTCCCAACTCTCTCACTTTCTCGCCTCCTTCCCCTACCCCTCTCTCCCTCCTTCCCCTACTCCTCTCCCTCGCCTCTCCATGCCGACAGCGTTGCGATGACGCTGCTCAGTTCGAGACAATGTCGGGACGCTGCTGTGTGAACGGCAGCGTCACGAAGCCATTCGCGCAGCAGAGTCGACGCTGCCGAGAACTGCAGCAAGGGGCAGCGTCGCGTGAACGATGGCGTGGTGGTGTTTTGTGCACAGCAGCGGCGGCGGTGTGGTGTTGATAGTCATTTGGCGGCGGTGATGGTGTTTTATGTGGTTGGATGCGACGGTGGTGGTGATTTTTTTTCTGTAGGAACTTGAGCGGCGCGGTGGTTTTGTTGGACTGATGGTGGCTGAAATTTTTGTTGATGGTGGC